TCTTCGAGCGACGGTGTAACTCGGAGAAGTAATAATGACTAATGTTTGCAATATTTTGCAACTGGGTATTTCCTAGATCCGGTCATCACAGCTCAAACTTCTTATATACTATAAATGAAGTGAGTCGTGTTATCAATTAATTTGTTTTTAACTACAAGGATACTTTATACTTGTCACAGCATTTTGAGGTATATTTGAGAGCATTAACGAGTTGCAGTACATGCATTGAATAAAATCGAAAAAGTGCGGACTTATCATGTCGCACAGGGTATGTCGAAGTATAATTCGACGGAGTTTTGTGCCTTGTTCCTTTATGGGTAGTGTAAAACAGTCCTTACGGAATCATAATTGCGCAAAGCATCGCAAGATCAACATTGCCGTTATCACGAAGACAGTATTATGATATTCTATCACTGTAACGGTCTATCTCCGTGTGTTGGTCGATCACAAATTCCGGCTAAATATAAAACAAACATCAGTGACATGTTACCGCTCCAGCTCCGGGACCGCCATATATTCGATATTTACCTGTACGATTGACTTGCGTCAGGTAAGCACATGTACGACCCAGGTAATAAATTCCGCGACTTAGACAGATATGCAAAATTTAATCGAGATGAATGAGCATGATACATTGTTGATATAACCGAAATTTCAACAATCTGGTGATTGGGCGTCATTTCGCATGCTATTTGCATTGTATTCCGTATTGCATACGACCTTATAGTCATGAGTAAATATTATGGACGCACACAAAATGTGTAGGCTATAGCAGTTTCATACGATATGGCTTTGTATGCCTGATTACAATACTGCTGCGAGTTATATTTGCATATTATTACCAATTTACACCTTGGCTACACATAATATGGAGTGGAAAGACATGATTGGCATGACGGACATGTACACCCCAAATTATGCTCGATTAAGAATTGCGGGCGTCCATACTTCCCCCGTACTTGCGATGCCCCTTCATTCATGTATTGTTGCTTTACGATCACAATATGATCATGATAATACAAATGAAAACCTAATACCAAATAACTACCGCCACATTGCCTCACGACTGCACTTGACAACTGAAGGGTTCGCACAAACATCCACAATAGATGAAGACCAGATATGTGACATTTTCATTTTTATAACTAAATATAAAAAATTAAATGCAATTGAAGTGCTGCAGAGACAGATTTTAGATGCTCTGATGGCTGCATTGCGTCTATCCACATTTCATATTTTCTATATGATTATACTTGACCATGATTTGGCCATTTATAATGCCTATCCAAACACTTTATTCTGTTGAACAACATATAAATCACATGTGTCAATCTCATCACGCAAGAAAAATTTAGATATGTCGGTAATTGACGACTTGGTTGAGGGGGTACTTCTATTCATAACTTGGCTACTCGATACTGGTACCCAAATTTTCATAGGCTGGCTATTATATGCGAGATTATATGAGTCGAAAAAGCATTGTCAAATCTCTTTATATTATGTGCTAAGTCTTCGCCGATGAGACGCATTTGATATAAGAAATTTCTTTGATAGGCCTGACATTATATCTTAAAAGAATACATATTAAATTACAAAGCAATATAAAAAACTGAATGCACAAAACGACATTATTTTAACGAACCAATCAATTAGAAACGGAATACCTACCATATGTTTACAAATATTATATTACGGATGCACAAAAAGGGTCATTGTGGTGCCCTTAAGTTAAACGGACCACTCAAACTAAAGTAAGTCAATCTCTTATTTTCAAACAAGTACCAACAAAATAATGTAGTATACACTAGCATCACGAGTTTTACCACCGAGTCGACAGCATTTTTCTTCGCAACTCAGGTAGCTTTTTTGTAACAAAGCACGACTCTTGTCATATGACTGGCAAGGCCTTTTGTTGACTGAACACAAGGCTGCATACCCCCGACGTCACGTACACGTGGCGAGGAAGCGCAACCGAAGCAAACAGAACCCGAAAGTTCTGTCTAAGGGAAAAAGTAGAACTGTATTTAGTATAGTTATGTTTTTTCAATAAACCATCTTTGTCTTAAGATAACTATACTAAACTACAATCGCCTATGTGGGTTTCTCGCTCACCACCCAGTGCGCGCGTCCTGCAGCGATTGGTGGTCAAGTTAGTAGATGTAACGTGTACATCAACCAAGAAGTGGAGCAACCACGAATATTACCCTCGGGGGTAATATTCTGCCAACATTACCTCTTTTCGAGTAATGTCAATTGAATATTATCTAAATAAATAATAACCTAAATTGATACATTCGTATCAATTTTTATGTAACGGGCTCACCCCGTTACATTTTTTGCGTTGTATCGACATTGACCACCGATCACGCGGTACTGAACTACTCCGTCATACAGCAGAAACATTTCGCGCTCATGTAACTAGTCACAGTAAGTATAGAAGTTACCTGATAGTCCTTTTACTCCAGCCTTCGTCATGTGCGCACAGCTATAGCGGGCAATATGAGTACACTTCGCCAAACGAACAAAACATCGGATAGCGCTCAACGTAGCATGAATGCAAAGGATGTCCTTGTCCATGCATGTAAATGATGCTTGGTGCGTCTTAACCGGTTTGTCAGACCAGGCAGGCACACCAAAAAACAAGCTCGACAGAAATTATGCTCTTTGGTGCCTGCTGTGGTCAGGTTCAACGCACAAGTATATGCACTCTTACCGCCTGATGCCTTCTTTGGCGTGCTCCCTATTTTGGGGAAATATACAACCTTCATCTTTTAGTTCAACCACTACCAGCGAAATCCCATCGCTTTTCCTCGGTTCTCCCGTCACTAGTGCACCTCACTTCTTTCTACGTCTTGGGTGCGTCCACGAGACACTTCTTTTCTTGTTGGGTGGCTCTAATCATACTTAGATCTACTGTGTCCGACCATCGATCACCCATCAAACCGTGTTGCTATAAATACTCGGAGCAATAATAGTAGCGCTTTTGGTGATGGCAGACGAACAATGCGATGATGCGGGGCGTGAAGCTCCGTGCGCGCATGTTCATGGCATTCCAGAACGTGCTGACTAAAGATCACTACAACACGATGAAGGCCACTTTCGCCCGGATGCAGAAAATTCGCGGGAATCTCTCAGCTGTGGGGCAGCCGAAGGTGCCAGTGCCGATGCCGACAGGTCCGACCGACAAGCGCAGCTTTATCTGGGTGTCTTCGCGGGACGCAGAGATATACCCTTTGGTGCTCTGTGTGGGCCTCGGCGTTGGGGTCGCCATCTTCAGCGGTGTTCGCCACCTGACGTCCGACCCCGACGTCAATCTGGACCCCGATCGCCGCGAGACGCCGGCATGGGAGCGCTACGAGCCCGAAGAAGGCAAGACGTTTTCGCGCAACCGCCACAACTTCGCCACTCTCATGCCGAATCCGATCAACACTTTGACTGAGTCATCCACGCACGATCAAGAAGCGAACGAGTAGTAGTGCGTCTCGAGACAGGGCTGAAGCAGGAAGATGGAGAGCAGCGCAATTGCGGGCAGCTTCGAAACACACGGGGCGATTACACTAATAACAACTAATTTCTTTCAAACACATTGTGCATTGAGATTAACCCACGTAAACGCTGTAGCGAAGGCGTTTTACGTTATTTGTCTCGATCCACTGACGGAACGCCATGTGGCGCCCCAATGCTCACAGATGTACGCTTTTGCTGGTGCACAGGTGAAGGATTGTCACGAAGGGCAACTCACTGACGGGTATGGACGTCGCGTCACATTCATCGTCGAAAGTGATGCGGGGCAGCGAAAACGAACTTCGGCATGTGACGTACACACTGCATCATGTGGCTGCATCATTGAGCTGATGTCGAATCATTCGAAGCGTAAAAGTGCGTTGCAAGACACGCTTGCAAGTCCGTCTAATGTATTATCCTGCATAATAGCAAGCGCTAACGAGTGCTCGCGATCGAAACAGACATCTGCTCCGCACACCTACTGACTGGTATCATGACATTCGATCCTGGAGCCCAGTGCTATCGTTGTGTAAGTACTTGACTACACCTGACGCGTTTTGCAGGATAGTCCACATCAAGTCTCATTGAAGTCATGGCCACCGTCATTCGATGGTGCGTCAGCTCTTGCATCCTCATGTCTGACAACCTACCTACGAGCGTGAACTGGTTGGTCACTGGAAGTCAAGCAGAAGAAAGTCCAGCGGACACATGCGGTAATCATGAAACGATCGTGAGTTTGCTCTCATAGTCAATTGACAAAGTGGAGATCAACACCAGCGAAGAGTTTCGATGCCAAACGTCACTAGTCAGTAAGATCAGATACCTTGTGGATTCCATCCTCTGTGCCGACAGTCCATTCCATGCCAGAGCCTTACTCGGGACGGTAAGGGAAGATAAGAGAAGCATCTGGCATACGACTTATCATTCAGTCTTGTCAGTGTTCGGCCTCGCTGTCCTGACCCCACGTACGAGTCTTGTGCTGTAGCCATCGATTGCGACATTGTCGACAAGCTGACATCCCACAACTTAACACGGACGTTTGCGCTTGTGTAAGTCGAGTACGTGCTCGTTCATCTACCGTTGCAACACGTTTTTAATCTGCACTTATCGAAGTGAAGTCCAAGTCCTGTACATACTGCAAAATTGACGTGGTCGATGTATCGTAGCAACTTCTGGAACACGGTCACAGCACCAAGTTGCACTCAAACATTGCTACACACCAGTGTGACAGCAAGGCGTGGTATGACCAGAGAACACGCTTGACACTTACTATCCAGCTGAATGGATTATGCTTTCGTTCCTTGCCATGAATTTGCCCATTCGATCCAAGTGCATCAGACTCGTGAGCACTTTTCGCTAGTACGCTTTCTCTTCTTTCATGTCATCGTAGCTATGGTTTACAGTGATAAGTGGCGAGCAGTGTGCAACTGACTCGCATCACTTTGCTGCTTGATTTCTCCAGTGACCAGCAACTTATGCTGCACGTCACTGCCAAGTCACATGCCAGTTGAAGCGTCTTTTGCGAACGAGAATGACAACGACTGCGCGAATGAGTCGATCGTCTTCGAATGCGCACGTCGCTTTTCTGGCGAGTCCAGTGCACCTCGGAAATACGGCGGCGGTAACATCGCCGTGGGCGTGACAAGCGGCACCGTGCCATGCCCCGGAGACACTTGGAAGTTGCACTTCAGCATGTTCATCTTGGGTATTGACAGTTTAGAGCCACTTGCTGTCATTTTCTCCAGCTCGTCAGCAGGCGACAACGAACGCGCTGTCGCTGGCCTATTCGAACGGACCGTAGACCGTGACGTGTTGGACAACGGCGTTGCAACCACATCCTCCAACGACACGAAGTCGATCGAACTCAATGGGCTTGGAACTGCACCGACCGGCAGACTTCGCTGTAACGGACTACTGTATATCTGGTCATCTTCCATCGAGCACGACTTTTGCCGCACATGCGCTGGCGTCAGAGCCACGTTCTGTTCCTTCGCCTCGGGCCGTTCTGGAAGCGCCTGTATCGTTTCCCTGTCTACAACCAAGCGCCCCTCCGCCATCACAGTACATCTTCTCTCTACCACAGTAGCAAAGACATCCTGAGCAGACGCAGACTGTCGCTTGTCCGTCAACTCGACCTCCAGATGCGGCGTCTGGTCGATACCAGCTGCTTCGTCGAAGCCAAAGCCCTGCAACCTCTGTCCTGACCCAAAAGTGTGCCGCAAGACTTTTCTCTGATCCCTCGCTGCAATGGCTACACCAACTTTTTTCGACGGCGTTTGCACGCGGTTTGCTGTGATCGCAAAGGTCCGACACTGACATCGCTGCCCTGGCATCGTGTCATGGTCGTGACTGTGCAAAAGCGCTTCGTCCGAGCCACACAACAGCATCTGCTCAATGTCCTCCTGCACATCGTCACCACTCATCGCTATTGCACCAAATCAACAACAACAACACGTCAATCAACAGCACAAGTGGATCCATAGTGTTTCTCGACATGGACAACGTGAGTCTGTGAATGCCTCGACTTGTACATGGACAAATATTACTACGTAATATACAGATGTCAACAATAAATTACATACCACTCTATACACATTGTCGAATTCGACGTACCAGGATAAAACCTCGAGTCAAATAACCCATCGCCCGAGTCGCTCGGAAACGCGTCGGCGTCCAACATGGCGCCGGGGCAAAAGACGTCCATGTCGATGTTCATCTCGACGTCCAGCGTCGCGTTGCTGCTCTCCAGTGGCAGTGCATGTCGCATGTGCTCTGACGTGGCAGACAGTGCGTCGCGCATTGGCTCGAGACCGGTCAATAACGCGGTGTCGTCCAGCGCGTCCACTAGGTACATCCCCACAGGTGGTGTTGCCATTGTCACTAAGTCGGGGGAATCGATTGTCCGCGCGTCGTCGCTGTTTTTGCAAGCCATTGCATTGCAAAGTGGTGTGTGCACGAGAGAGACATTTCATTGGCTGTAAATGGGTCATGGAAACGATTGATTGACCCATTTCTTTAAGCATCTGGGATCGGAGCCTCTAGACATTTGGGTCAATAAATCGCTCTCTTCTGACCCACTATGCTTTCTCTGTAGTACTTGGCAAGCAGTCGGTAACGTCTTTGGTATTAAGCTGACAAACACCGGCATCTTGTGCCGTGCCACACGTACGAGGCAGACAGAGGGACAAAGAGCTGAGGCGGACGGTATACGTCTGACGACAGAAACGTGTATACGCTGAACAGGCAGATCGTGTGTATTCATTCGTTTGGCACATTCGAGCGACCTCCCCATGCCATGGACAGAAAATGAAAAACGACAAAACAACGCAGTATGGGGCGAATCCAGGAACCTCATGGCGTCCCCCGTCTTACGTTGTGCGGACAGAGATGATCTGCTGCAACGTGTACGTCTGGCCGTTAGGCAGAACTTGCTTCTCGCTCACACGTCCTGGCTCAATGGCCACCATGTTCTTGTACTCTTCAGCCACAAAGTCCTCCATGGTCGCCGCACGCTCGGCCCACGGGTTCCACAGGACAATGTCCGTCTCGGTCTCGACTCCTTTTGCTTCGTCCGGGTCGCGGACGCCTGATTTTGTACCGGCCCCGCCAGTGATGGAGCCACTTTTCTCAACTGTCACCGTACGGTCGATAGCCTTGACGCCCTTGATGATAGCAGACACGAGGTCTGGGGCGTTGCGGTACACATTGTCCGTCTGGGCCGAAAAGTCAATGAGCTCACGGGTCTCGGTCTCGTTCGTCTTGCTCACCTTGTCAAAGTACTCGACGCCCTTGAGCCCTTTCACCTGCACGCCCTTGTCGCGCACGTCGTCCACCCACAGGTAGTTGTGCAGCAGCGCGTGGAAATCAATCGGCTTCTCAAACGTGTTGCGCACATGCAGAGCCGTTTTGAGCTGATCGGCATACAGCTTGACCTCGTACGTGAGCTCAAAGTCCACGGGCCAGATGGTACGGGTCGAGTCACTCGACGCCATTGAAAACGTGGCCACACTGGGGCTCTCCTTTTCTTTCGCATCCTCGTGGCTGACAAGGGTCCAATTGGTGATGCGGGCGAACCCGTGGCTTGGGAATCCTTCTAGACTGCCAAAGTTGGGAAAGATAAGAGGGATGCCACCGCGAATGGGCTTGATGCCGTCCAAGAACGACCCCTTCGACATGAAGAGAATGTCGAGCTCGGGGTCGACAGCGGCGCGAAACGACTTGACGTGGGCACCGAAGAGGAACACCTCAGCACTGGAGCCGCTTGGGTGCTTGAGCTTCACAGTCTCCAATTGAGCATCGGCTGAGGCAAGTGCTGTCGCCACCAATGCGGCAGTCTTGATGAGGAAGGCCTTGGTCATGCTGCAAGCGGGACGATGTCCAGGTTGAGCCTGTGGCGCAGAGGAGAAGTTTTGGAATGACTGGGGCTTGATCGATCCACTACAGCTTTATCGCCCCTCGTTCCGCGATTGCAGGTGCCACGTCGGAGATCGCATCCATCCAGAAAGGTTGTGGAAGCTACGGACTGCATGTTGGCTCTATGTGTACTGCGGAGACAGTGGCGACAGGGTGTCGAGCTTCATATGTCTTAGGACGAGGTTGTGTTCGATCGCACGCGTGCACGAAAGCTGGGAAAACACGTGGGGTAACCGCGTGGTGCCCACGAATCCACACGTCACGAAGAACCACGACAGGGTTTACGCCATGCGACTAAAGTAGTCCTTCCCTGTTACCGCTATGCTTATCGTCTGTCGGATTCGCACGCTCCGTACGAAGGAGTGACGATCGTCGAAGCATTTCAACCGCTTGAGCACATCCGACACGATACGGATCGGCAGATTCGTAGACCGTTAGTGCACGTCCATGACATCACTTCTCTCTTTTATCATATGTACGATACAGCGTATTACAAATACAGCGGCTAACGCGCTTCGTCTCCGCCCAACGTCGTTCTGGACCACAATTCATCGCCATGTGACATACACGGCGGAAGTGCTGGAAATCATCTGTAACGCCGGATCGCGTTGCGGAGAAAGCGTCGGGCACGCCATCGATCGCACGCATGTAAAGACGAGCGGATGCGCTTATTGTTGAGGCTGTTGCAACGAGTACTCTAGCGTGAGGTTGTGTTGCGTGTTCGTAGCAACAGCTCCTTTTAATATGTTGATGGCAATCACGTAGAGATGATGACAAGGCACAGAGACGATGACATGCACATGTGTAACTGTGTTGGGTGCAGACTAACGTTCCGGAATCTGGAGTCAGTCCAATCTGACTGACAGACACATCAAGGTCACAACACGACACGCGTCACAAACCTAAGCCGGTGCAGCGACGTGGTCGAGTTGTTCAATCGCATGTTCGGTGCTTGGGGAATGCGTGTGCGATACGGACTCGATACAAGCGTTTAGCACTCAAATCAGCTGAATGCGGAACAGATTTCGCTGCAAAGCCAATAGAGTATGTGCTCTAGATTGGTCGTCATGAGCAAACGCAAGGACCCTTCCACACCAGTCTATCTACCAAGCAATTGTGCACGATGCACTGCGATTAGACAACTAGCAGCGGTGCGATCTTGTTCGCTCGTCCTTAGCTCAGTGACGCACAACGTCAAAGGCTCAGGTGACCGCACGAAGCCCTGGCAGCCGCGCCTACCCTCCACAGTACGAACTCTTCGCATTTCCATTGTTGTTCATCTGGTTGTGTAAAGTAAATTTGGAGGCGCTGCGCTAGTGCTGCGAGATTCTGACGACCTCACGAATGCACTGAAAAGGCTCACGTGACGACGTGTGCGCGGCGAAGTAGCGACAACAGCAGATGTTGATAGATTACGAGGTCATGTTCCTAGTAAATGCCGGGGCCGTGCAGGCAAATACACAAGTCTACCAAGTAATGCGTCTCGTGATTACTATCTATCACGCTGGCATGCTCAGGACGGCGCCACGAGATCGTAGCTTGACGCCAATTTGATGACTTACCGCCTTTGTAACGGGGCACGCCTTGTATCAATTCGACACAAGGTTGTGTGCACCCGACGTCACGTACACGTGGCGTGAGGAAGCGCAGCGGAGTCTGCAGAACTTAGAAGTTCTGTCTAAGGTAAAAAGCAGAACTGTATTTAATATACTTATGTTTCTTAATGAACCATCTTTTGTCTTGAGCTAACTATATTAAACTACAATCTCCTGTGTGGGTTTCTTGCTCACCACCCATTGCGCGCGTCCAGCAGCGATTGATGGTTAATCTGGTTGATGTACCGCGAACATCAACCATCAGGTGGAGCAACCCATCAAAGAAATATTACCCTCGGTGGTAATGTTCCTTCAACCTTACTCCTTACGGGTAAAGTCAATCAAACATTATCTAGATCGATAACTTTCAAAAATTAACACTAAGATATCATTTTTTATGTAACGGTCTCACCCCGTTACATCAACCCCCTAAACCATCAGTCACTACAGTAAGTGACTGAATTGGTTGGTGACAGAGTGACTACCGTTGGGTCCCTCTGTAGGAAAGTGAGCACTTTTTGGTTCTGCCCAACGCATTCAGCCTTTCAGCGCATGACGAGTTCGTCCATGCGCTGATCGAACAAGGCCTCCAGTGACGAGGCCGCACGGATGCGTGCAGCCGGAGAACAAGCTGTCCAAGACTCAGCACGAAGTGTCAAGTCACCTGCTGCTGCCAGTAAGCATCCTGCAACTACGGGAGTTGCAGGAGCACGTGGTCATCCACGTGCTGCTCCTTCACCCGCAGCTTCGGCTGCGGGAGGTAGTCCCGTGGACCAAGTTTCCGAGATAGAGGTCGTCTATTCGGGCGAATCGGATTCTCCATCTGATTCGAAGCCGTGCGCAGAGCCCGAATGTAAGGTTGCGGATCGAAGACTGCGGGGCCTCGCGGCAGTCTCGATAAGGACTCGGCCATGAGATGTTCGGCTCATCCGACGAGTCTGTGAACCCATCGACGGTATCGAACCGATGTCGCTCGTATTCGAACGAGGAGAGTGCGAAACATGAGGACGTAAGTCCTCATGAGAATGTCGATGACTCTTCGCGGAATCATCGTAGCCATAGCCGCACCACACTAAGTATTGCGGCGATCGTGGTGCTAGCTCTCATTTTGGCACCACGCAGGAGGAGCAGGATCGCAACGCGTTGCGATCTGCTCCTAATAACAAGGGATGGATGCCTACCTTGAGCGAGTTGAGACAGTGGTATGGTTATACCACTGGAAGTTGTCGGGTACCACTCTTTGACTCGTCAACGATCCATGGGCTTAATCCCAGTGCGATAAATTATCGCACTGAGCATGGATTCTAGATCAATGTCTATTTCAGACATCGATGGTACTACGGTAACCACGAACGAGACGATTTATCGTTGGCTCACGCGTGGAACTCGTTTATCGGCAACATTGACAGTGTTAGCCGTGACACTTGGCTAGACAAACTTACTACAGCTCGCAATAAGTTGGAACGGAAGTCCATAACCGGTGCTGGGTTTAAATTGCACCGATTGTCTCGAGAGGCAGGTTTAACTTGCCTCTCGTGGGGAGAGACATGTCAGAGTTGTATTGACAACTCTGGTAGCGCCACTGAGGAGGCCTTCCTCCCTAATTAACCCTACTGGAGGGCGCATATCTCTTCCGAGATGCACGAAGGGATTGAGACTTTACAATCCCTTTACGAACGCGCCGGGCGTTCATTCGACGATGGTGCTCCTCGAAAGGGTGGGTCACATCGTACTGCTCGACGAGACCGGAACATCCATCATCAGCTGGGAGCCCCGCTCTCAGCTGTTTTAATAGGGTGGATACCCCCGCCACTGGACGAGGTAACTCGTCCTTGATCCTGAATCGTCTCGGTGGCTTAAGATACGCTCCACAAGGAAGCGTTGACCACCGTGTGAGTCCACCAAAGGATGTGGAGGAAAGGGAAAACCCTTCTCCAAGTCGTTCGGCTCACCATCTCGACCAATACGAGATGGATTGCGCAATCGATCAATTGCGCGAGGATATGGAGCACGAGCGGAACAATCGCAACGCTATGATCGATTATGTGCGGAAACACCGCTAGGATCGGGAGGCTGATCTGGCGAAGGATCTTGCCGAGTACGCCCTCGCCCAAGTTCAGGTTTAGCGTGATGTCCGCCCCCTTGTCGAAGAGCTGGAGACATCTCCCAGAGAGATCTCCTAACTGCGTGGCGAGGCCTCTTCGTTACGCGTCCTGACTGATCGTCTGTAGCGCGAGAGAAGGAGTCTGATGGAGGTTCTTGAACGTGGAGCTAACTTCGTCGTCCTAAGAGGGATCGTACTGACAGTACGGGCGGAGATACCTTACGTAAAACGTAGGATGCGTACGAATCCTAGGCGGCAGCCCGATCGTGTCTGCGGTGCCTTGTTGGAGCAGCACGCGAAAGAGACCGATGTACTTGGGCAATAGTTTGCTGCTGCCCACGTTAATTAGTATATGTCTAGGTGAGTTTACCGTAGATAATAGGACTAAGTCACCTTTGACAAATGAACGTATATTTGCTCTTCCATTCTTGTCAGCGTTCCGCTTCTGCCTGTCTGCGGCGTGAGTGATGGAATCCTGCACGAAACGGACCACTGCTTGACGAGCCAGCAGAAACCTTTCTGCTGACGAGACATTTCTTTGTTCAGTTCAACTTGTTCGAACTACAGAAAGAGTCCTTTGCTCCCTCTGTTCATCAGCGAGGATGATGACACCCTCGCTGAAGTCGTCGTTGGAGATGCTGATAATGCCAGCATCGTCATAATCATCTGATTCAACAATAGCGTCATCGCTATTATTGAGGTGATCTTGTTTATCGATGTCGACTTGATCGACATCGGCATCATACGTGACGACGTTAGCGTCGACAAATGATGAGCAAGAGCCAAAACAGTTTTTTGCTCGATCGATTCCCCCCTCATAATCCATGAGTCACACTCTAACAGGGAGGGCAGACGTGGATGGCGGAAGCCATTCACGAAGAAAGGTGTATGCTGAGTTGAAGCATGCACCAAATTATTGATGGCGAATTCCACCATGGGTAGGAATTCGCTCCAACTCGAAAACGAGTGGACATATCCTCGAAGGATCTCTTCGAGGACACGATTGGCACATCCGTCTGACCATCTGTTTCGGGAATTTCAGATGTTGATAGCTTCAACCATGTTTCGAGTGAGCAGAACACTGATTGCCAAAACTCCACCGTAAACCGAGGGTCACGGTCGGATGCGAGTTCACGAGGTAACCCATAAAGTCGAAACACTGTGTCGGAAAAGACACGCGCACATCCGTGAGCATTGATCGACTCTGGAACTGCAGCAAGATGAACCATCTTGCTGAACCGATCAA